CGCCCTCCCCGCGCCGTCGCGCGCTCCCCGGCAGAGGCATCACATCAATGTGCCGGTGCACCAGGCGGAGTGGCACTGGCAGCACTGCGTGCCTCTGCCGTACCCCGACGCCACGCTGCCGCATGACTGGCATTTGGATCCGGAGAGGACCCCGGTGCCGGCCGCGCCGCGGTCGGCGAGGACCCATGCGGAGGAGGTGCGGCGCCGGTGGGCGTTGCTTACGCCGGAGCAGCGCGTCGACCCGTACTACACATTCAACTCACCGAACTAGGCTTGTTGGTTTGCCTTCGAGCATGAGGAGGCGAGGCGACGCGGCGTCCGCGGTGTCGACCGCAGCCTGCCGCCGGTCCCGCTCGTCATCCGCGACGAGGACCAGGAGGCCAAGGCCGCCTACCAGGCGGCCATTAAGGAGAGCAAGGAGGAGGAGTGGTGGAGGGAGGCGGAGGAGGCGGCATTCCAAGCTGCCATGGCAGAGGCCATGGCCTTCTCCGTGGTGGGTGACTGTGTCGTGCCGCCAGTGACCCCGTCGTCCTCGCTCAAAGCCGAGCCGAAGGAGCCGGGCCCCCTCGAGCGCCACTCGTGGACCGGAGTAGTGCGCGAGTGGGTCAGCTCTCCGCCGATCTGGCTCGGGGCGACGAAGGAACAGGAGTCGGCCTACCTCAACCACTAGCGCAGCGTTCGGCTGGCCGAGGAGTGCCGGGAGGGCGAGCGCCTTCAGCTGCTCAAGCGCGAGGCCGAGGAGGAGGCGCACCAGGCCCAGGCAGCGGCGGCGCAGCCCGCGGCAGCACAGCCCAACATCGCCGCCCTCTGGAACACGGCGTTCCCCTGGGTCGGCCCTGCGCCGACGCTGATCGACCTCACCGGCCCCGATGCAGACGCCGACAACGACGAGGATGAGGACGCCTGGGGCAGTGCGCCATCGTCTAGTTTTTAGTTTTTTTATGTTTAATTAATGTAACGTGGACTATTGCCAGCCTTCGTGGCCGTCTTTTATGTTTAACTAGAAGAACGCCCGTGCGTTGCAACGGGGCCACATTAACTTTAAGAGTTCAATATCAGTTATGTTAATATTACATTTAATATTTTCATACATATCAAGTGACATTGGTTTTGGTATTTGAAGATTGATTACCATCCGTTAGTTGGGTTACCAAAGAAGAAATCAATCACCATATGTAAAAAAAAGAACTACATTGCATATGCTTACACCTCATCTACTCGTGAGAATATATAGAATTGGAGCAAACAAAATCGTATACAGAACACATCATCATTGTTTGATACTCCTGCATGCATTAGTGAAATAAGCACACAAGTTATAAAACCAACTTAGTACAAAGCATAAGATGAAAAATTCTTAGTATAGAACATACGAAAAGGTCCCCACGCTAACACTATGTGCCCTAAAAACAACCACAAGCGGTCCTGCATCATGATTTATTCGGTACATGTACAATCGTGCATCTGCTCCAGCTCATCAGAAACACAGACAATCATTATGCATATTTTCGCAAGGTAGCTCAATATGAAACAACCTTGATTGAAACATCATTTCACTATAAATTTGAAGAAAATATGAGATTGGGTCATACACTAAAATACGTGCACATGAACTACCAAAGGCCATGCTAAAATAATATTAGATCTGGTAATTTTGGGATACCCTCACAGGAAGTGATACCAAATAGAAACTTCATCATTTAAATACTCATCGACAATTTTGAGAAATCCTTACATGAAGAAGGAGCAAATAGAAACTTGATCAATCTAAATACTCCTATAATGACCTCAACGCCCTTAAAGTATATATGGACGCCTGTGCCACACCGCGTCGATCGCGCCCGCCACTGCCGTCGCGCTCCCCGCAGCCACCGCACCACTGTGACCCGCGTGACGCACACCCTAGCCACACGCCACACTCTCGCTAGCTGCGCTCGCCCCGTCTGCTGCCGCCTATCCCTTCGCTCGCCCCGCAGCCGCGCCCCTGCCTCGCGCCCCCTCCTGTCACGGCCATCTTCTGTCGGCCACCCCCTCAGCCACGCCAGCCGCTTGCCTCGCCTGCTGCATGCTGCTTCCTGCTGCTATGCGATGCTCTACCGCTGGTACGCTGTTGCGCCATGTCCTCGACACCGCCGTGGACAAACATGGCGGAGGGATTGTCAATGGAGTACGAGGAGGAGGTGGCGGAGAAGGTGTGGAGAGGCAGGAGGTCTGGGGTGGTGGAGATGTTTATGCGAGAAGGAGCCGGAGCGGAAGAAGAGGTCACAATTGGAAAGAATCGCAAAAAAATCATAACCTGAAGATCTCATTCCAAAAAAAATGCTAATATCGATGGAGGGGTGATTTTCTTCTATAGGTGAAAAACATAGAAAATATTAGTTGTTATCAAGGAAAGGTAAAAATTTAGGTAAGTTAGGATTTTGAACTGATTTCTATGCAAATGGGGTTTTATTGTTTGGTAACGTGATATCAGTACCTGCCCGTTTGTGACGTGTCTGATTTAAAAAGTTTGCAAATGTTAAGAAACTTTTTATTGGGAGAAAAGTTTGTGACGTGTCTGTTATTTGTTTCCTAAAACAAATTTGATTTAGATAAGTTAGGAAAGTTAGATTAAAATATATTATTTATTTCCTGAAAATTTGTTATTTGTTTCCTAAGACAAATTGAGTCAATAAAAGGAATCGATTGATTTGCATAATTTAAAAAAGTTAGATCCATGATTTGTTATACGTTAGGAAAGTTCTGGTTGTAATAAAGAATGGAGAGAAAAATAAACCGATGGACCAGGGTGGGAGGGGGTGGTGGAAGGAGAGACAAAAAAAGCAATGAAAAAAACCAGCAAAAATAAACCGTGAAGACTATTCACCAATTGCTCCATTAGAAATAGAGATTAATACTTGTTTTATTTTTAAAATGCTTATAATCATTTCTTTTATTTTTCGCATCGATAGAAATCGGTCGGGCCAGCGTTGGTCGCTCGCGTCGATCCAAACACGATAGCGAACGTTTGTGTCCGTCTGTCAGATCCAAACGGACAAAAGACGGATAAAAGTGCCGTCCGTTTGGGTCGTCCCGTCGGATAGACCTGATAAAACAAGCAGCGAGTACATAAGCCAATCATGATTCACGACATATCTTCCCGCAAAAAAAATGATTCACGACAATATCATCAGTCGTGGGAACGGATCATTAGCCAGCCGCGTAGTCACAGGCACATGCCGCCGGACGAAGAAATCTGCATGTCACAACTTTTCGATCATAATTCTGGAGCCGACGGACGAGTGCGCGCGCAGCCGTCATGGGCTCGGGTCCCCCACGTCTCGGGCGTCTGTCACAGCAGGTGGACCGAGGCTCCACCACTGCGGCACGTGGAGGCTCTCAGCGAGTCATCAGTAGCCAGTCAGCTTTGTCACGGCCCAAAAGAGCGTTTCGTCGTGGAATACTCGCGTTCTCCCATCACACGCTCACCCCACTCTTCAGTCAAATATACGGGCACGCGACGTGCAACGGCACCGTAGTTTCGGTTGCACGGTTGAACACCGTCGGCTTCGATTAACCACGTGCTCATGAGAGAATTACGCGGTCACCACGGCACGGCAAATCTCTCGCTTGAAGCTTCAGATCACGGCGCGGCGGTAGGATCAGTCTGCCTGAAAACTCCAACTCCAAGCCTGGCTTCAGGTTTGACACGTTCCATTCCGCCCGGACACCGGCCACACCCACACGTCTAATCCCACAAACCGGAGACGCGTCCGTCGTCGTGAACCCGTCAAGCAAGGCCGATCTTGTACACACGCACGCATACGACCTACGTCCACCATCATCGTCACATAGGCAGGCATCGTCAGGTACAAATCTACAACCAACCAGGCACACGAACCTGACCAAGACACAACAGGTTTCTCTCCGTTGCAAAAGCAGCAGCATCATCTGGGTTGCCATCAGCATTCAGCATTCAGCAAGACTCGGCCAATGCTGCTGTTACATACAAATTACAAATGCACCATTAGTAGTAGTAAGGTAAGATGCAACTTGTGTACGCAGCCGGCACGCAGCCATCACCCTGTACAACACCACCTCGCCCATTCACATCACCACATGAGCTGCTTGGCCCCTCTCTTCTTGACGACGGCGTCGAAGCGGCCGTCGACCATGCTGATCTGGTCCATGAGGGACCGCCGGATGTGGCCCGGCGGCGTCTCCGTGATGCCCGCCAGGTACACGTCGGAGGAGAGGTCGAACTTGAGGGAGGACATGGGCGTGTTGGGCTTCTTCACCAGGTCGTCCTCCAGCATGATCTCCGCCACCCGAGACAGTATGCTGAACGCCACCCCCACAAGAACCCTCGAGTAGGCCTCCACGATGGCGTGCCCCACGTCCTGCACCATCCAAGGAGTTCTTCTCAGAAAAATGCACAAGCAAGCATCGCTTTAACCCACCGGCATGTTGTGCCATGACAAACTTATTATTACCTCGTTATACTGGACCTTCACAACGTCGATGAACGTCGGAGGCAGGTTGGGGAATCTGGACTTCAAGAGCTGGATGAGGGTCTCGACCCTTTCGATGCACGCCGACATCTTCTCCAGCTCCGACGAGCTGTCCTTCATGAACTTCCACGAATGCCGTGCAGGGGACCTCCTGCTTCTCTCCTCTGAGATCCTTTGGTTCCATGCAAACAGTGCACCTTCTAACCGGTTCATGGTCTCCAGCACGCTATGCTCGGTTTTCAGACTCAGAGAAACAAAGATTTCTTCGATGGGAATATAGTCCGTGGTTATGGCATGGTACAGGTCTTCCCCCAAGCTAGATCTGCCAGACTGCAAGTCCAATCAAGTATTCATTATGATCATGCAATCTATTATACAACTCGGTAAAAAATGCAAGTAAAATGCGAGTAAATATGATTTGTGTACTTGCCTTTGGAAGGGCGTCCATAACAGCCATGGGAATAGGGATCTGAAGCAGGACTTGTTCGTTGATAGACTTGGCAGCTTTGAGGATTTGATGAACAAGTTTAGCCTGAAACACAATCCTTTTTCGCTGAAACTGAGATAGCCCTTGTTCAGGGACACAAGGGGATGGAAGCCACCACTTTTTGGTCTGTCTTTCACCATTATTTTTGCCCCGGCCACCTGATCGGCTGCCACTCTCCACGTACCAATACTCCGTGTCCACCATTGAGTCCAGAACTTCCTGCATGTTTGGTTGCATATGCCATTGGTAAATCCAAACTGTCGCAAACACGCATAATTTGCGGAATATGCAATATTTGTTATGGACAGATCGATGTTTTTTTGATAGAGATGAAAATTGTGTTAGATCTGCATATCCATATAGTGCTCTCTATCAAAGATAATTTTAAGAGAGATGAAAACATAGTGGCAACATACAATTAGCATGGAATCAAGCTTCTGTAGAGCAGGAAGGTTCACATGAACGTCTGAACGGGCCTTCGGGGTCATAATCTGCATGAAGCAACCAAATAAAAAAGTTTTTACATCTCAGATAAACTTCATGCAAACAGAGAACACTTAATTCAGTTGCTCATTAGCCATTACCTCAAACATGCACCCATCTGCTCCATTTTGCTTTGTGGGTACCAGCTCGACCATGTAGGTCGTAGGAGAAAGCAACCAGTCCATTTCCTTCCGCCACCTGATCTTTTTTTCCTCACACAATGGTTCCAACTTCCACAGCTCTCCAAAAATAGTGGCTGTCATGGCGAACACTCATTTTAGTGATGATGACGGTATAGAAGGAATACTAAATTGGGTAGCTTGTGAAGTTCAGTATACCTGAGAGATTGGTTATGCCATTGGACAAGGCCAGAGCAGCGCAAACTCCTCTGGCACCTCCAGAAACGTCATCACCAAGCAGTAGCTTTGCAAACTTCTCCTTCATGATTTCGATATCAGCAGCACTCAACGTATATGTGATTGGGTTCTTCCCTTTGACAGGGAGTAGATGGATAGCATCGAGCGTATCCAACTCATAAAGTGAATGCTCCTCCTGCTTGCTCAATGGAAGGCATTGGGAAGAGAAGGAAGAGCCATCAACATCTTTGCTGGAGGAGCAACTTGAAGCTTCATCTTCAAGGGAATCAGCGGTGACACAGCCATCCGCCCCTGTTGTTGCACTAACGCCACTATCCTCATCATATGAGGAACTATTGAAAATGCAGCTCTCGAGGCCATTGTATGTCGTCACCTCTGCATCAGTGGATATTTTTCAATTTATATGCACAACTGAAAAAATATATTACAGAGACATATGCACTGAAAATGCTTAGTCAGATGCCACGGCGCAATAGCACCTGAGCATAGGATATCGCGAAGAACGGATTAAAATAGGATATACAACTGCTATTGGATTCTTTGGACCACTGAACTTATGCAAGCATACATATGCACCTTATTGGGAATATTTTAAGTAAGCTTTGCAGCTCATCGTGGTTTACCAAGAACAAACACAGGAGTAACTATGAATTGACCAATGTACGTCCATTGTTAATTAGATAGGAGGAACGATAATTAAAGTAGGCATTGCAGCGTCTGGGACTCTTTCGTCCACTAAGCTTACAAAAGTGCATATGAGCGCTTCATTAGAACGATAACGCAAGTTAGCTGTTGATGTTCCAGGTGATTTAAAGAGAACCCCTGGTTAACCAAGGAATGAGTACAGCAGTAAAGCCAACTACGCATTCTACAGTCAGGTGCTGACCATTCATGGACAAACTTAGAACGACGTTATAAGTAGGCTATCCCACATGCTTTTCTGATGAGATTATAACAATCCATCTCAGGGAGAACTTTTGAAAGTGCATCTGCAAAAGAATCGTGTGCATCTCTGTACGACGGTATAGACTACATAGTTGTGACCCAGACTTAGCTTAATCTAAAGTCCAAACTACCTATTAGCTATAGTATCATCACAGAAACGGCTTACAAAAAAGCTCCACTCAACGCAAAACAACCAAGCGAATCTCCACACCCCATAAAACAGCCATCGTCTATAAAAGTTACAATTTTACAATAGAAATCCTGAGAAAGCAGCAACGTCCTTATTCAAAGATCAAATAAATAAAATACAGAAAGAACATCATGCAAAAACTCATTGTTTGTAGCCCGCATTTCCACACAGAAACTAATTATCGGCACTCCATCCAGTGACCTACGCCGCGCAAACCGTGGCAGAAAGATTCTCACGAGGTGCACACACATTCTGCAGGCATACGCTCGCCCCACATGCTCGTAGACAGGTTATCCTGCCGTTACGCGTAGTGGTACCAGTACCAGCCAAGTCGTAGGCCCTGTTTCTACCTGCCCTGCGTCTCGTCTCAAAAGCAGCAGCGTGCTACCACGTTAGCCCTTTTGCCCCCAAAGTCAATGGACGCCGCACTTGGCGTTGCTGGGAGCGGCCGGGCCCACACCCCGCTCCGCTCCACTCCACTCCCCTCTCTACTGTATAAACAACTCTACGGGAAGCTACAGAAATATACAAACGGACGCGGAACGGATGGCACCAGAAAGGAGCCAAAAAGTAGCCGGAGAAAAGAGATCTTCACGGGTTCGAAGCGAGCCGTTGATGGGTAGGCAGAGGCAAAAGTCGGCGATTAATGGCAACCATACTGTAATCGTAGTGCCGGTGCTGTGTTGCCAGGGGAAGTCGGCGATTATCCAGTTGCCGTGTCTCTCTCTTTCGTGGCCGGTGATCCCCATTTACTTCCCACGTCGCACAGCAGAGTGTGGCAGCATCGCCAGCCTCTGACTAGGAAGCCCGCGCGCAGGGGTACGCGGTGAACAGTGGGGGCTGGCGCAGGCCGTGGCCTCTCCGTTCCGAATGACAGTACCACCCGGAGTTATGCTGATCGTCTCTACCAGGCCCGGCGGCTTTGATTTGGAGAGCAGGTGAAAGGGTTGCAGATAAAAGGTCCTAATTTCGGGCCAGATTTGGGACCTCCCGATGCAGCACGGCAGGACGCCCGGGGTTTGCAGACACGGGCATCCATCAGCTAACAGCTACTAGTACCACTACCAACTCGTGCACTTGAGGATATAAAATGGTAACGAAGATACGAACATAAACTGCCTTAATGAACACCACATGAACAGATCAAAAATCTAGACCAAAAATGTCACTACCAGGAAGGAAGAGGGGGGAGGGGACAGGGGTCTGTCTTGTTATGCTTACTTTCCGGCTCTTGGTCCATGTCGACGCTGAAGTCCTGCGGCCGCCGCCGGCAGCAGGCCAGCGTCTTCATCCTCATCTTCCTTCCTCCTCCCCGGCAAGCACGATCAGCGGGAGCCCAACCTGAAACCCAGGAGACATCGCAACGGGCAGCAGCGTCAGGACGAATGAAAACCAATCTCAAAACAACTAGTAAATGCGCTGCCGCAATAAACACGGGGAGCCGTACGCGGCGGCGATCGGAGGCGAGGCGAGGCGACCGGCGAACGGCAAGAGATGGAGACGGGCTCCCGTCTGCCTGCACGGCCGAAGATTTCAATCCCCTCACCCCTCCCTTTAATTTGTTTACCGCGACGCGCCACCTCCCTCGCCCACGGCCACGAACGAAGGAACGAACGAAAAATCGCGCCTTTTCAGATGCAGGGTAATGATTGACGCATCGGCAGCGCAAAGGCAAAAGCGAAAAATAAAGAATTGCTAATGGAGGAGGAGGAGCAAATCTAGCGAGGATGCGCGGCTATGGGATGCATTGACGGCGCGATATTGCGCATTTACTTGTTACTAATGATCGGAGGCGTCGACTGATGATGATAAATCCGTTGTGCGTCTTTGCTGTCCGGACGGGTGATTTATGGGCGCAACGGAAACGGAGGGAGGGCGGTGCTACGGCTGGCTGGTGGTGACGCGTCAGGGGGGAGGGGGGCTCGCCGGTCGAGGCACTGGCGGCCGTGCAGGCGGTGCGGAGGCGTTGGGACTTTGAACTTTGAATTTTGAACTGGGCCGGTGGGTGGGAGGGGGTCGGGAAAGAAGCAGGGCTCACGAGGACATGGGCACCGCAGTAGGCTTTCTGTTGTGAGCTTCGCTATGCTATGCTAGCTTTTAGTGCGGGACGACGACTGTGCTGTGAGGCGGAAAGCGATGACCTGAGCAAAAAAGATGTGGGGGCGAGGTGAAAAGAGACGGGGTGAAAACTGAAAAGGCCCCGAGGTTTGTTGGCTCGCGGCTTTTCCTCCTCCCCGGCGCTGGTGCCGCAGCGGGGCGATGACGACCTGACCACGGCCTCTCCCGAGAACTAGGGAAGGGCGCGGCTCGCCTCACTGCTACCGTGCGGTGGTGACAGCTTTTTTCATGGCGATGGAGATGGGACGAGCAGAGCAGGAATGGGGTTCGACGGGGAGGGTTCCAGCTCGAATCGCGCCAGCATTTCTAGGGACGAAGTTATTGCGAAATGTAGAGGGGAGGGGAGCGGCGGTACCTTTGCGGCGGCGGCGTCTGGAGCCGAGAAGTCAGCGGCCGGAGCGCTCCGGCATGGATCTGCGGCCAAGGAAACGAGGGGCGAGTATGAGGCGATGAAGAGAACCTCAATCAAGAAGGAAACCACGAACAACAAATGGAAATACTAGCTGCCTGACTGGGCATGAGCTTACCAGCGGTCCGAACGGAGGGAGGCGGGGGGCAGGCCTCGAGCGTGAAGAGGCGGAGGAGGCAGGGCAGCGAAGAAGGAGGAGGCAGGGGAGGAGGGAGGCGTGTGTGTCCCTGTGTGTGTGAAGGGGGGCTGCTGGTAGTGGTAGTGGTAGTGGCAGTGGTGCTACTCTGCTCTGTCTGACTATGTTGCGATAGATAATGAATGCGGCAGGAAGGGAGAAAAGAACAGAAAGCGGAGCGAAACCAGGATGCCGAGCATGTGAGCGTGCAGGTGCCGCCGGATCAAATATACTACGTACCACCCCCGCAACCGCACCATCAACGGCCGGCCTCCCCCTGGGATCTGCTCCGTACCGCTAACCAACGGAGCCCACCCGCGCTAATCAGCGCCTCATCCTGCTCGTCTCGTCTGCTTCGCTCGCTCGCTTGCTCGTTAACCTCTCGCAGCCGGCAGCTCGCTCCACCACGGGCTGGCCTTTGGTTGAGATCCTGAACCCAAAAAAGAGGATTTCTTTTCGGTATCTTTCTGGTAATCACGAAGGGGAAAAAAACTTTCTTGTCAGTGTGGTGTGGCAGCGACGCCGCCTACCTACCCATGACGACGGCGGCACGCGGGCGGGATCCAATGCCGCTCGCTGCAGCGGCAGCGGGCGGAATCGTTTGCTTCCTCCCTTCTCCTACCTCCCTACCATATCCCTGACACCTCATTTGTCACCTGTCTCGGCCTCCATTTACTCGAACCGCTTGCCCTTTTCTTCCTCCTCCCCCTCACCGACCGATCACTTCAGCCCAGGCACGCTTCTACACTTTCACACTTCCCGGTCAACTTTACTTTAACTCTGCGCGCGCGCAGATGGTCACTCAGAGCCGTTGGATGCCGGATGGACGGAGAGATTCGCGACCATACTCTTCCTGTAGACCAGGGGTATCCGAGGCCTGACGGATACGTTTGACGTTCCTACACGTACCGCCTTGTCCTCTTGCGTCACGTGCGGCCACTGGCCAGCCATGCCACTACACACGTTCCCGCACGTACTGCTACTTGGCATCCTGGCTGGCCCGATGGGTATACCGGATCCTGGACGTACGTAGTACGTGCTGAAGTGAAACCAAAGGCCATTGATGAACGTGAGCCCGGAAGAAGAATGGAAGGGGGCTACGGACAAAGCGTTCGTTCGGCGGACGGGGCAGGCAGGAATGCGTGCAAGGTTTTTGGTCCCCGGCCCACTCGCCCCGCATAGTCGCACTCTTTCGGTCGGTTTCCTTTCCCAGGCGCGCCACGCGACAACGGGCGCATGTTGCTTCTCGGGCCCGGGGCTACGGACACGAACGCACACGCACAGTGACGGTATAATACGGCACCGTCTGTATTGTACGTGCTGCTAGACTGCTAGTGGTGGGTCGTTGGAAAGTTCGTCTCCGTGTGCGCACGCGAACTCCTACCGGGCCGGAGCGCCGGTCCCTCCCGCCGGCATCAACCATGGTTGGGTGGATAGAAAGCGTGTGGCGTGTCGCGTGTGTGCGGTGCATCGATGAAAACTAACTCAGGGGCTGTAATATGTGCACCGGCCAAATACCCCACCACAAGTTTAGAAGAACTCGATCCCCGCCGCGTCCGGGTGAACCCAAATGATAGGCAATCGGTTGCTACTTGTTTCTTTCCAGCAAGAGTCACATGTCTCAAAAACTATTGTCTGTAAAAGGTTGTAGATTGCTTGCAGGAGTAGAATGTCAACCCGGGCATCATGCATGCATTTGAACCCGTCCAAAACGTACGCTTCAGATCAACCAAAGGCCAGCACACCATACAGGACTGGACAGGACAGGGCACATGAGTGATCGTGCACAAGCGGACGCACCGCTCAAATGCGGCCCCGTTTCCCGCTGCACGCAAGCTATGCATACCATGGTGAATCAGCGATTCGGCGACCGAAAGAGGGGGAAGGATACTATACCATACCATATCAGCGAGGAGGCCAACTCCACCGCACGACCCCAAACGGATGCCCCCTTTGCCCGGATTCGGTCCGTTTGGATAGAGAGATGAGGTCGTGTCCGGACCTGTTCTGAGATGCGGGGGCCGTGCGCCCAGCACGCGGCCGCATCCTTCGGCCCCATCCTGTCTGACACGGTCAAAAATGTCCATATATTCATATCAAAACAAGTTTGCACGTTCAAATATTAATCGTCTGAAAATAAAAATAATTTTATAACCCAATCGGAATTGTCTCTAAATAAAATAGTTTTACAACCAAATCGAAATTGTCTTGAATAAACAAATACATTTATTGATTTGCCAATGTGACTCCACACATGCTTAACCAAGTCATTTTAAAGATCCAAATGACTGTGCCAATCACGCAGCTCACAATGGAATTGGACAAACTGTTCAACCAAAGAGGCCGCGATGATCACCTCGATGCAGCAGGGGTGGTTGGCAGCCGGCTACTGGCCGCTCTGGAGCACTCGTCGGAAACAGCCGTGGTACGTCGCCGGCGGTTGTATCCCCTCTGCCACCGGCTACGACGGTGACGGACAAATCTCCTCCAATTGACGGCCAAAACTACGGCGAAAGCGCTGACGTGGTGACGGCCATGTCGAGACGGCCAGGGAGTGCGAAGTGAGGAGGCGGCCAGAGAATAATGACGGTGCCGACGATGGGGTTGGACGGGGAGAGGGGATGGAGGCGTTGGAAGCGAAAGGACTGGTAGTGTTTCCGACAGGCGGGCCACGGGGGGACAAGGGCGTGCGGCGAGCCCGTCCGCGCGATGTCTGTTTCACCACAAACCCGACGCAAGTTTGTAGCAGGAATGGGTCAAAAACGGACGGAATCCGGACATTTATCCGTTTGGGGCCGTGCGTTGGGCCGCGCTATTCGTCCGTTTTACCCCCAAACGAACACATCCGAACAGGATAGGGTCGCGCGGTGAAGTTGACCTAACGAGTGAACGACCAGCTAGCGCGCAATGCTGAGTATCATCGATGACGCACGGTCGATCGGTCACGTGCCAAGTGCCTTAGACGAGAGGGCAAGGCAAGCAACGCCGCATGAGTGTAGTAGGCCGTGCAGCGCGCACGCTCGAGCCGCTGTGCGGTCCAAGCTGCTGCTGCTGCTGCTGCTGCTGTCCAGCAGAATGGAGAGCGACGCGTCAGCGCACACATCACCTCCGATGTTTGGGTGCATGGTGCGGGTAGGCCTGTGGCGTTCCCAAGGTTATTTTTTTGCCTCTCCTTTTCTGGCACGGCACGGGCAGACGCCGACCCTCACGCACGTACGCTCTAGGTTGCATCATCATGAAGATCAAGCATATAGCAACCGATCGGAAGTGGGTCTCATCCCATTTCGGCCCGTTCATCGGCATAGCGCATGGCGGTTTCGAGGACACGAGCGAGCGAGCGAGCGATCAGGAAGAATGCAGATTAACGACCCGCCGATCACTGTACGGTCCTCGAATTCGCGGCCGACCACCTTGTGTCTAGCACGCCGGTGCCGGTCGAGAGACCTAGAAATGGGACGAGTTTTTCGCCGATGGGGACGACTGCCCCGGGGAGGTCAAACGGGGACGAGACGACGGCGAAGCAACGCCGCTCCTTTGGCTTGCTTGAATCCCCGGCACGGTTCAGATGAAACCAACGGCTGCCTTGTTCTTCGGTGGTGAGCTCCCGGCGGGGTTTCTGTCCTTTTTTTAAGTTCGGTGTAATCGGGTACTAGTCCTTTTCTCAACGAGCTGACTTAGAGCATCCACAGTCGGAGGTTGCAAATTTAGACTCTCAAATGCCCGTGGACGTGTCCGGACACGCCTGCGGACACTGACCGGGCGTGTCTTAAATTTTACAATCTACAACCATGTATCCTAATCTCAAAACATCTATTAGATGCAGGGCCATCCACGTCGATCATTTTGTTCGCCTTAGGCCGGCTCGGCACCGAAAATTGCTCATACTTAATATTTTCACATCCATATTGGTCCCACCTTGCCGACTGAGAGCTAGTTGACCAACTTAAATATCCGGGTCGCCCAAAAGGGATAAGCTTCTGACAACATTGCATCCTTTGTTAAGGATATGGACTCTTACTATGAATCTTCTATGTTTATTACATAGAAGATTTATTATAGTCAGGGTCTATACCTTTCGCATAGGGAACATTGGTGCCGGCTTGTCTTTTTTTGAATCATGTCCATGCATCAAAACAAAATAAAAATCTAGTGTCATTGTAGTAGAGGTATCAACATATATGATCGAGACAAACTTGACACTCGATGAACAATCATCAGTCAATGAAATACAATCTAGTGTCAAATATATCTCGATCACACATGCCAGAATTGATAGACCTACACAACAACCAAGCTTGCCGCCATCCGCTGGTGTAGCTATTTAAGTTGGGCGGCATCCGCCTCGGCCGGCGATGTGGGACTAAAATTTGGTTGCACCAATGAGAGATGGAGAAGCTTCGGTCGCTGCAGGTGGGACCACTACGACCTGCAGCGGGGTCGGCGGGCGTGTTCGGGCGCCCTCATATCCGTCTCATATTTGGGTTAAATATGAGGGGTGTCGGTCAGCCCGGGCATTCGAGACGCCCGTCTGGGTCAAAAAATCGTGACAGGGCAAGTGGCCAGACGGCCCGCCCGGGCGTATGAGGTGGGTTTGAGAGGTCCGGTTGTAGATGCTGTTATTAATCAAGTATGGAAACAATACAACTTAGGAAAAAATAAAACATATGTGAGCAACAGAGCACCATGTCAAAAACAAAGCACCATTATTTTGCTCAAGTGTTTTGGTGCAAGATTGGTATACTTAGAGGTGCTTTTGACTATTTTTTAAAAGTAAATGCTTTTGCACTATAATAAGTTAAGAAGAGAAGCTATCCAACCTATCATTGATAGGATCATTAAGAACATTTCTCGGTGGATGAGTAACCATCTCTCAATATGTGTCTGTGGGCTTCATGGAGTAAGAGGTATTTCTCTGTTGGTAAAAATTGGGAAAACGTTCTTCATTTCAAATATGGAATTTCTAGACCTAATTTGCTTTCGTCTAAAACTGGCAATTTTGTTTAGGGATTTCAATATTGCTCTGCTGACTTCATGGAGTAGGAGGTATTTCTCCGGTGGTGATAAAAATTGGCAAAAACAAGTCTAGGTTTTAAATATGTAACTTCTAGACCTAATTTGATTTTGTCTAAAACTGGCATTGGTTCCCGTTTTCGGAAAGGGATAACTTGCACCATAACTGCTTCTACAACTTTTAACAGATAGAGACTAGGAAATGGAGTTAATATTAGCTTCTGGGGTGATATTTGGTTAGAGGATTTGTTCCTTGGAAACAGATAGGGCGATTCAGTGGAGCTGCTCTTGCCCATGAAGAGTAGCAAAAAGAAAAATAATCTGCAAATTTTCAACATCCAAGATATTCGGGTGTGCAATGCGTGTGCGAATGTTCATTGTGTTTGGACATTTTGAGGTCATGATGAAAAAACAAAACTTGTCACTTAAAGAAACTTTGAAAAAAAAAGCACCGTTTAGAAACTATTTTTTTTTGTTTTGCTAGAGCTCCTCGGTTGTCCAAACACCATGAAAATTTGCCTGCACCCGAGCATCTTGGATGCCAAAAGAAGTAGGAGGTATTTCTCTGGTAGTGATAAAAATTGGCAAAAAGAGTCTAGGTTTCAATTATGTAACTTCTAGACCTAATTTGATTTTGTCTAAAACTGGCATCGGTTCCCGTTTTCGGGAGGGATAACTTGCACCATAACTGCTTCTACAACTTTTTACAGATGGAGAGTACGAAATGGACTTAATATTAGCTTCTGCGATGATATTTGGTCAGGGGATTGTTCCTTGAAAACAGACAGGGCGATTCAGTCTGAGCTACTCTTGCCCATGAAGAGTAGCAAAAAAGAAAAAATAATTCTGAAAATTTTCAACGTCCAAGATATTCGGGTGTGCAATGCGCGTGCAAATGTTCGTGGTGTTTGGACATTTGAGGAGGTCGTGACGAAAAAACAAAACTTGCCACTCAAAGAAACTTTGAAAAAAATGCACTGTTTAGAAACTTTTTTTTTGTTTTGCTAGAGCTCCTCAGATGTCCAAACACCATGAAAATTTGCCCGCATCCGAGCATCTTGGATGCCAAAAAAAGAAAATCGGATTCTTTTGAATTTTCTTTTTTATCACTGTTCATCGGGTGTAGATGAGCCTGAGCTCAGATAGCAATTACAATTTGTTTATATATATGTAATCAACAGGATTGTTCAGTATCCCAGGTCTGGGATGGACCAACCTGAAGTTCTTTTCAGGAGATGTGTAGATGTGAAGCTTTTCTGAGATTAGCAAAAATTGCTTTGCTTGTTAGAAACTGTGACTCTTCCTTCTTATAGAGATTGCCCAGTCTGGCTATTGGAGCCTTCTGGCTGTTATTCTGTTAAGTCCTTCTATAATGCCATAATCTTTGGACATGTGGTCTCACCCCAAGAATTGATTAGGAAGATTTTGACTCCTCAAAAAAATTATGTATTCCTTTGGTTGTGTTTTATAAGCAAAAATCAACTACGGATAATAATCTAGCTAAGAGATGGACTGTCGATGACATGGCTTTCTATAATTGCAACCGACAAAGCTGACACGATTAGGAGGCCTCTAGTTTGCTCTTGCGGCAGCTGGTCTAAAGACTTGTGGGCTTTCCTTTTCAGACACCAGGATTTGTCGCTTGTTTGTTGCTTAGGACGAACACGTTCCAATCAAGTGTTTCAAGACAAAAATAGCAAGGTTGAGAATGAATAATCTCTGTTCGCTTTATTCAGTAGAAATGCTTACAGAATGTCAAGTTTCTGACTCAAGCAAAGCAGCAAACAAACCTTTGTAGGAGAAAAAGAGAATTACTGTTCACTCAGGGCAAGCCGTGGGAAAAAAAGGACTCACGCCACATAAGAATACGCACTCACAAACCACAAGGAGAAAAGAGGGGAGAAAAAGAAAATGTACACTTCAGTTAGCGACAGTCTTCGGCGCACAGCGAGGATTAATCTTGCACGTAATATGGCTCCTCAGGGTGCACCAATAGGCTTCTAAGCATTCGTGTCTCAAGATGCCAAAACTATTATCACGATAAGCAAAACCACCCCAAAGATCACCATAAGCAGGCAAAGCTGCACATGAAATGAATGGGTAGGGTAAAGAAAATAGCTAGAACAGTGACAATGCAGTAATTTGTACGAGTCTAACGTACCAAGGATGAATTTGACTTCTGAGTCTTGGACGCTTTGCCGAGTTCTTTCTTCGCTTCACTGGTCGCGGCTGCAGAGTTTTCAATGTTGCTGTCGACTTCCTCTGTTACCAAAGATGTCGGCGTTAGCTAGTAAGTCAAGGAACAGGAGTGCGCAGAATGTAATGTAAAACGTGCCTATTACGCCTCCTTGCGCATGCACGAGCGTAGCAAGATCCTTAAATGCTTCATGTACTTCACCAATCTGCTGTTGGATGTCTTGAATCGCCTGGTCCCTTTCCTCGATGATAGCCTCATTGAAAACAATTTCATTATCCAATTGCAACACCTCTAACCTGCAGAGTAGCATGGCACATCCGAAAAAATGTGAGAGGAATGGATTCCTTTTTTTGCGGGTAGAGAGAAATGGATTCTGCTGATTCTTGCATACAATATTGATCTTTTGGCTCAAAAAACACATATTAGGATTTTAATTAAGAATCTTGCATGCCATATTTTAACACCATGTGTTTCAACAAACAGGACTTGCCAGTCTAAAAAGGTTATGTGACATAGAGCCCCTATGAGCTTCCCTATGTAATGAGGAATCGAGCAAAGCCCAACAATTTAGGACTGAAGAAATTCTGAGTTAAGAAAGAAGCTTTGGACACATATTGTTCATGGGTTGACAGAGGAGGCTGAACTCTAGGACTCGAATACCTCATTGTCCCTTGGTAGTTCAGTGGTAGAGCGATCCGCTGATGTTAATTTACTGGTGTAGGTTTGAATCCTACTTGGGGAGATTTTGTAAATAAATAAATAAACAAAAGGGATTGCTTTGACCCTTTGGAGTAGGTAACTCAATTGTCAATGCAGCAAAGCTTCAATTCATATGGCAATCAACTTGTACAAACTCACGATTAGTTACCACACTGCACAACACAATTTGGACCCGGTCAAAATAGTGCATGAGCAGCATATT